AGAACAGAACCGGAAGACAGATGCCGGCATCGGTAGGAGGACATTGCCGGGGAGCGCAGGACAAGGTAAGTGTAGAACAGATCCTGGAGCAACGCTGCAGTGTATTCCCGAGTGTAGCTCGGGGGGGGGTTACCGCTTGTGGTGCTGAAACTTTACTCCGAGATACACTCAGGAATACCGCCAGGGGGGTTAAAGCTCTGTAATTTAACATTGGACAATTTCTTACTAACTGTAATTGTGCCCCCCCCCCCCCCCCCCCCATGAAGAAGAATGGTCTCCAGCTACCCAGAGGGCTTTGTTCTTCCTCTAGTCCTAATCTGCTTGTTTGTGAGAGACTTCTAGTTATTTATGTAACTACCTAAGCGGTATAATATATGATACTTACTCTTTGCACCATATCCCACACAGGTCCTATGAGGCAATCGAAGAGACCAACCGCACCTTCAGTTGGGTTGCAAAAATTCCAACACCGACAGCACCATTGGCAACAATGACAGCAGTGACAGCACCGGCAGCAGCCAGGTTCCAGCTCTTCATCATTGTCTAACTGTTGGGCTGGACTCCAGGAGAAGTGGAATCCTAGTTTATGCGAATGCTTTTCCTGTCATTTCCCTTTTTTATTGCTTTTTTCTCCTCTACTCGATTTATTGCCTTCGTTTTCTTCCTTCTTATCCTCACTTGGTGATGCTTCCTCTATCTTCCCTGGTGCACTTGGCTGGAAGGTTTCCTCTTCCATTTCCTCCTTTTCTGCCTCTCTTTCCATGTCCCCACAGGACCATGTTATGTTGATCTTCCCTCGCTCACGTGTCATGAACTCCACCTCTCCTTTTCCGTCTTTGGTGGCCTATAAGAAAAAAAAGAACAAAAGTTAGATATAAGGACAGATTGTAAAGTGGAACTCTACTCTTTCTTTTAGATTTGGATGGAGTGGGGGAAGGGTTCAGACTTTTCTGAGGTTTTTATTCTCGATGTCCTGACTGTGAAGTTTCCCTTTACTTCATATCATCTCAGGAGAAGTAAGCGGAATCCTCCCATCAGGATTGCAGACAGCAATAACAATCCAACTGAGGCTCTAACCCATCCCCCATTCCATCTGAAATCCATGAACTGCCTTGCTTGATGTTCTGCTTTAAAAAATTATTAGATTTCTTAAGGCATGTTTATAAAGAGTTACTAATCCTAAAGTATTTCAAGAAGTAAAGATGTGAAGGTCCCCAAATACAGCAGGGGGGAGAAATTCAGGGGCAGGCCTACTATTTGTGCCAACTCTGCAGCTGCACAAGGGCCCCCTGGGACTTGGGGGCTCATCTATACTATCTATACATAGTACATTAAAGATTGTGCTTGGGAAGCAGCTAAATGGGGTGCAGAGAGCCCACGTCCTGATCAGGGGGGCGGACTGACCATTCGAGCACTCAGGCAGTGCCCAAGGGCCCAGGTTCAGTAGGGGGCCCCATAAGATGCCCCTGGTACCTTTCATAGGCTTTTTTGGGTATGGGCGAGGACACAGGGGCCCCATGATCCCCTAATGCCTGGGGGCCCCATGAGTTGTCAGTCCGCCCCTGGTCCTGATCACTATTCATCCCCCTGGAATACATCCCAGCACAAGATTCTGCCATCACTGCTACGGTTTCCACCTCATCCCTTTATCTGTGTAATTAACCACTTCCCGTCTGGCCCATGTATATAAACGGCAGTGCAGGGTCGGGTGGCTGTTTATAAACGGTCTCCCCGCCCCCCTGCTTGTGCGCACTCCCTGGGAGCGCGCAGCACCGTGATCCGGTGCCCGCTGCGTCCTCCGGACACAGGGGAAACACCGATCGTCGGACGGGACCTCTGTACGAGGTCCCGATCATGTGATCGCTAATTGGCCAATCAGTGATCACATGCAAAGTAGTAAGCAAGATGTCACTTGTGACATCATTGCTTACTACGTGTGAAATCTGTGAATGATCACAGAGATCACATGGTACAGGGCTATTCACAACAGCCTTGTACCATGTGACAAGCTGTGACCAATCACAGTTCACTCAGTACTTCTCAATGAGTGCAAGAATGCAGCCAGAGAGAAGGAGAAATGATTGCTTTTACAGCCTTTATGGGTATAAAAGCAATCAGTGTAAAAAAAAAAAAATCTTCATCACCCCCCCCCCACAGGTAGTACAGTGTCACCATGGTGACACTGTACTGCTAGGGTGACAGTATGTAAAAAAAATAAATAAATAATAATATAAAAAAATAAAATAAAAATGTAAAAAAAAATGTTTAAAAATTATAATTTTTGGTTATAAACTAATTTGGCTTTTTTTTTTTTTTTTTACTAAAAAGATAACAGAATAAATTACATAGCATAATCTCTTCTCCCCCCACAGTCTCTTCTCCCCCCACAGTCTCTTCTCCCCCCACAGTCTCTTCTCCCCCCACAGTCTCTTCTCCCCCCCCAGTCTCTTCTCCCCCCATTCTCTTCTCCCCCCATTCTCTTCTCCCCCCAGTCTCTTCTCCCCCCAGTCTCTTCTCTCGCCCCCTCTCCTGGCATTACATTTCTTCTGTCTTGCAGTGCAGCGTTTCTCTCCATCAAAGTTTCATTTCTCCTTTGTCATCTTCCTTGTGTGTTTCTGGCACACGGCTCTTCTACTGTTGCCTGTCAATGGCTTCCAGAACTTTTTGTTTTTGTTGAACTTCCGCCTATATAGAAAAAAAATAGATGGCGAGTTTAAGATCAAATTTTAAAGCGGAACTCAAACATTCAAAATGTTGTAGATTTGGATGGAGTGGGGAGAGGGTTCAAATGTTTCCAAGGTATTATTGTTTTCAATGTTCCGACTGGGAAAGTTTTTCCTTGCTTCCTGTCATCTCAGAGGAAGTAATCAGAATCCTTCCAGTGGGATCGCAGACAGCAATAACCCAACTGAGGTGCTAATCCTGCCCCCCTTCTCCTTTCCATTTCTAGCTGTCTCTCTCAGAGGTCCGCTTTAACCTCTTAACGCCGGCGCCTCCCGGCCCTTTAAGAGTTTCAGAAGCCGGGAGGCGGGGCGGGGTTTTAGGGTGATGTGACCACCGTGATTCGCCGTCACATGAGCGGAAAAGGTCCCTATCGAAAGGGGAGATCGGGACCTTTCTGTGAGTCACGGACATATGTGCTCTGAACGCTCTCAGCACATTCGTATTTTCTAATTGCGCACAAATATGTGGCCACTCGGCATCAAGGCCCAGATGTTGAGAGGCCGCATATTTGCGTGCGCTTGGCATCAAGGGGTTAATATATTATTACATTTTTTTAACAGCATTTTCTAATATTTTGGCGACTATAAAGTGTTTTAAATGCGTTTTTAAGGATCTAAAAGAACGGTGGGAATGAGTCCGGAGTATTCCTACTCTGCATTCTGACACTTAGAACCATCTTCCCCCCATAAAAGGCTCCACAGTTGCAAGTCAATCCATAGACCCCTAGATGGCGCATGCGGGCTGCAGCAATAAGGAGGGTCTGTCTTGTACCTGTGGAGCCTTTTATGGGGGGGAAGATGGTTCTAAGCAGGGCAGACTGACAATTCATGGGGCCCCCGGGCAACAGGGGTTCAGCCCCTGTGTCCTTGCCCACACTTAAAGCACACCCAGAAAAAGCCTATAAAAGGTACCAGGGGCATTTCATGGGGGTGTTATTTTTTTCTATATAATGGGGAAAAGAGTGAACATGAAGAAGTAACCCTTTCCCTGACCTCCTGTTATACACTTGTTTTCACTTTATATTTATCACAAAAGTGCTCTATGACGGGATAGCATTTTGTTGTGACTTCTGTGGTTGTTGTTATTATGACTTGTGCTTCTCTTTATGGCCCAAATTGTATCACATCCACACCACACACACCAAACTACACACAGCAGTCGCGGTTGGGGAGAGCTGTGCGCCCCTTGTGTTGGTACAGTCAGAGCGGCACATGGGTATGTCGCATTGCCTGTAGCTGCCGCTCGGCCGCAGTGCATTGCGGTCAGGAAGTGGTTAATCTGACCCCCACCCTCCCCTTCCGTCATGCACAGTTGTACAGATCCTCTCCTGGACTGACATTTCTTACTCTGATTTGATTGCACACTGTGAGCTTCTCACAGTGTGCAATAGAAGCTGCAGCAACTCGGATGGATCCTGCCTCATTTCCTGGCTGGAGGACATCCAGCATCATCTAGCACTTTTCTCACAATAATTATTAAAGTATAAATAAAGGCAAAACTCTTCAGTTTTGGAGAGCGGAGAGGGATTAGAACCCCTGTCAGGTTTTGTTGCAATCTGTGTCCCCGACAGCAAGAGCGAATCAGGAATAGAGTGGTACTCTTCCACTGGAAACACTGGTTCTGGTGACCACCAGAAATGTCCTCACTTCCTGTTTTGGCTGCAGGACAGGAAGTGAAGGGGAGTCTCCCCAATGGGACACAGATGGCAAAGCGTTATTCTGCCAAAATGAGAAGCTTTAGTTCTACATAGGAAAACGGTACAGAGAGACACAAGACCAAACATTCTGCATGAGATATGAAGTAAGCGACCACATACATTACAATCTGGGAATCTATTTAGGTCACCAACTCTAAGGGCTCGTGTACATTGCGGCTGATAAACGCATGTTTAGGAGCTGTTCAGCGTTTTTTTTCAGCAGCCCCTGAACTCTCCCTAATGTTTCCCTATGTGTCCATGTACACATCGCCGTTTACAGGCATTTGAGTTTACAGTCGTTTTTTTGAACGCAGAAAACTTTATCAGCGTTTTAAACGCAAAACGCTTGTAAACGCGGCACATGCAACACTGTACCCATATGAAATTTTTATCATTTTTTTGAGACAGATAGAACTTTCTTTTGGTGGTATATAATCACTTCGGGGTTTTTTTTTTATTTTTTGCTAAACAAACCAAAAACCACTGAAAATTAAAAAAAAAATAAAAATTTTTAGTTTTTGTTATAAAATTTTGTAAATAAGTGGTTTCTCTCCTTCACTGATGTGCGCTAATGAGGCTGCAGAGATGGACACTGATAGGCTACACTGATGGACACTGATAGGTGGCACTGATGGGCATTGACAGGCATCACTGATGGGCACTGAAAGGCAGCACTCATATATGGCACTGTTAGGTGGCACTGACTGGCATTGACAGGTAACACTGAAAGGCAGCTCAGATGGGCACTGATATGTGGCATTGATGTGCACTGGTAGGCACTGATATGTGGCATTGATGGACACTGACAGGTGGCACTGCTGGGGCTACAGTGATCATCAGTGCCCTGATGATCAGTGTACATGTCCCCTCCGCGAAAAGCCGATTACCGGCTCTCCTCTCCTCTGTCAGTGTGACAGCTTGAGAGGAGAGAAATGCCGATAACCGGCATTTCCCTGTTTACTTGTGATCAACTTTGATTGGAAACAGCTGATCACATGACCGAGCTGATATCTTTGGCTCTTTCCGTTGATCGGTGATCTGCTGTGTCTGAGGGACACAGCGCACCACCGATCGCACTCTCCTGGATCCGCACATGCGCAGTGAGAATGGGAGGACGTCATATGACGTCCTCACAGAGCGAGAGAACCGCCTTGCGCCCGTCATTGCCTTACATGGCTGGCAGGAGGAGGTTAAGAGGGGCCCCTATTATCCCTGCATGGGGTTCCTGGGTCTGTATACCTGCTGTGCCTATCATGAAGGCTTCCACCATCTCTGATCAAAGTTCCCTGGACTGCACACCTGCCCCCATTGTGAGGGGTTTCCACCTTTTTTGCACAGAGTTCCTGGATGTGTATCTTTGCTGTGCCCATTAGGAGGAATTTCTATCCCCGCCAGGAGTTTGAGTCTTTCTGTGTCCATCATGAGAACTTCTATCATCCCTGTGCTGAGTTCCTGGGTTTGCACACCTGCTGTGCCCGTTATAAGGGGTTACCACCATCCCTGTGCTGATTTCCTGGGTTTGCACACCTGCTGTGCCTGTTATAAGGGGTTCCCACCATCCCTGTGCTGAGTTCTGGGTTTGCACACCTGCTGTGCCCGTTATAAGGGGTTACCACCATCCCTGTGCTGATTTCCTGGGTTTGCACACCTGCTGTGCCCGTTATAAGGGGTTACCACCATCCCTGTGCTGAGTTCCTGGGTTTGCACACCTGCAGTGCCCATTATAAGGGGTTACCATCATCCCAATTGCATGTACAGTTGTGTTCAAAATAATAGCAGTGTGTTGAAAAAAAGTGAATAAAGCTGAAAATCCTTCTAATAGCTTTTATTTCCATCCACACAAATGCATTGGGAACACGACACATTCTATTCCAAATCACAACATGAAGAAAAATACATCAAATTTGTGTTGTTCCTCTAAAAAAAAATGGAAGAAAAGTGAATATTAGACGGTTCAAAAAAATGGCAGTGTTTGTATTCTTCTTTACAAACTCAAACATTCACTATATAAACTGAGAAATGTTTGAAGATTTTGCTTTCCTTTGAATGACTTCATGAATATTTGGTTGTAGTAGTCGCACTGTTTCTGAGAACTGCTGTACATCTGTGTTGCATGGAGTCACCCAACTTCTGGCCCGTGATCAGGTATTCCAGCCCAGGATGATTGGACTACATTCAACAGTTCTTCTCTATTTCTTGGTTTTGCCTCAGAAACTGCATTTTTGATGTCACCCCACAAGTTTTCTATTGGATGAAGATCCGGGGATTGGGCTGGCCACTCCATAACGTCCATCTTGTTGGTCTGGAACCAAGATGTCGCCCGTTTACTGGTGTGTTTGGGGTCGTTGTCTTGTTGGAACACCCATTTCAAGGGCATTTCCTCTTCAGCATAACCTCTTCAAGTATTCTGATGGATTCAAACTGATCCATGATCCCTGGTATGCGATAAATAGGCCCAACACCGTAGTATGAGAAACATCCCCATATCATGATGCTTGCACCACCATGCTTCACGGTCTTCACAGTGTACTGTGCCTTGAATTCAGTGTTTGGGGGTCGTCTGACAAACTGTCTCCGGCCACTAGACCCAAAAAGAACAATCTTACTTCCATCAGCCCACAAAATGTTGCACCATTTCTCTTTAGGCCAGTCAATGTGCTCTTTGGCAGATTGTAACCTCTTCAGCACACGTCTTTTTCCCAACAGTGGGACTTTGCGGGGACTTCTTGCAGATAGCTTGGCTTCACATCGGCGTCTTCTAATTGTAACAGTCCTCACAGGGAACGTCACACCTTCTTTCATCTTCCTGGAGCTGACTGTTGGCTGAGTCCGCCCCATTTTGGCTATTCTTCTATCCATTCCAATGGTAGTTTTTTGCTTTCTTCCACGTCTTTCAGGTTTTGGTTGCCATTTTAAAGCATTTGCCATCATTTTAGCTGAGCAGCCGATCATTTTCTGCACTTCTTTATACGTTTTCCCCTCTCCAATCAACTTTTTAATCAAGATACGCTGTTCTTCTGAACAATGTCTGGAACGACCCATTTTCCTCAGAATTTCAGAGAGAAATGCACTGTAACCAGCATGTACAACATTTGCTGCCTTCCTTCCTTAAATAAGGGCAATAACTGCCACCTGTTTTTCAAAGAATGAATGACCTCACTAATAGAACTCAACACTGCTATTATTTTGAACACGCCCCTCAATGAGTGATTCAATGACACAGAATCAGCAGCATGCATGTCATGACTGTGGGGTCTGTTGGATTTCTATGACTCTACTACACCTGCTAGGAAATTATTTGCCATGTAGAGATAGCATTTCCACCACAAACAGTGACTGATCCGGTTAGTGATGTCTGACGGATATTATTTTGAACACAACTGTATATTGTGGCGATAGTAAGAGGAAAAGCTAGAACACAAGGGTGGGCAGGAAAAAACCCCAAATTCCCAGATGGACAGGATCAGAGCTAGGAATTGTGGCTGGGAGATCTTACTACTGGGTGTATTTGAGATTACAAGAAGCTAGGTATGAGTGCTCAACCTGTGGCCCTCCAGCTGTTGCAGAACTACAAGTCCCATCATGCCTCTGCCTTTGGGAGTCATGCTTGTAACTGTCAGCAGCTTGCAATGCCTCATGGGACTTGTAGCTCTGCCGCTGCTGGTGGGCCGCAGGTTGAGCACCCGTGAGCTGGGCACTGATATGGCCCATTATGTTTCATCCAGAACTAAACTTTCACCTTTGGTAGACCGATATTTTAAAGCACTTTCAGAATTCCCCAGGGGCTCTAAGCCAAATGTATTCAATAACAAACTGCATTTTTGTTTGGACAGATCTGAGGAGAGAGCAAGACCCCGCCAACTTGGAGACTGCTCAACACGAGGGAGTCTTTGGGACCATCTCCACCATGGTCAAGACAGAAGGGTCCAGGAGCTTGTACAATGAGCTGGTGGCGGGTCTCCAGTGACAGGTGAGCTTTGCCTTTGTCCGTATTGGACTGTATGTGGTGTCATGAAAGTCCATTTCTTGGGCCTAAAACATACTTCCTCATTTGGCATGTACCTTCTCTATCACTGCACTCAGCAGTGTCTTTATTTCATCTAAACTTATGTCCAGTTGGACCTGTCTGGAGGCGCATTGTGTGAGCTGGAACTATGAACCTTTAGTTCTCTCCTTCTCTAGAACAGGGGTCTCCAAACCTTCTAAACAAAGAGCCGATTCACTGTCCTTCAGGCTATAGGGGAGCCGAACTGTGACCAGTGTGAAGAATAGTGCCCCATCATTGGTATCAGTTGAGGAATAGTGCCCCGTCATTGGTGTCAGTGGGAGGAATAGTGCCCCATCATTGGTGTCAGTGGGAGGAATAGTGTCCCATCATTGGTGTCAGTGGGAGGAATAGTGTCCCATCATTGGTGTCAGTGGGAGGAATAGTGCCCCATCATTGGTGTCAGTGGGAGGAATAGTGCCCTATCATTGGTATCAGTTGAGGAATAGTGCCCCATCATTGGTGTCAGTGGGAGGAATAGTGCCCTATCATTGGTATCAGTTGAGGAATAGTGCCCCATCGTTGGTGTCAGTGGGAATAGTGCCCCATCATTGGTGTCAGTGGGAGGAATAGTGTCCCATCATTGGTATCAGTGGGAGGAATAGTGACCCATCATTGGTGTCAGTTGGAGGAATAGTGCCCCATCATTGGTATCAGTGGGAGGAATAGTGCCCCATCTTTGGGGTCAGTGGGAGGAATAGTGCCCCATCATTGGTACCAGTGGGAGGAATAGTGCCCCATCATTGGTGTCAGTGGGAGGAATAGTGTCCCATCATTGGTGTCAGTGGGAGGAATAGTGCCCCATCATTGGTGTCAGTGGGGGGAATAGTGCCCCATCATTGGTGCCAGTGGGAGGAATAGTGTCCCATCATTGGTATCAGTGGTAGGAATAGTGCCCCATCATTGGTGTCAGTGGGAGGAATAGTGCCCCATCATTGGTGTCAGTGGTAGGAATAGTGTCCCATCATTGGTATCAGTGGAGGAATAGTGCCCCATCATTGGTACCAGTGGGAGGAATAGTGTCCCATCATTGGTGTCAGTGGGAGGAATAGTTCCCCATCATTGGTGTCAGTGGGAGGAATAGTGCCCCATCATTGGTATCAGTTGGAGGAATAGTGCCCCCATCATTGGTATCAGTTGGAGGAATAGTGCCCCATCATTGGTGTCAGTGGGAGGAATAGTGCCCTATCATTTGTATCAGTGGGAGGAATAGTGTCCCATCATTGGTGTCAGTGGGAGGAATAGTGCCCCGTCATTGGTGTCAGTGGGAGGAATAGTGTCCCATCATTGGTAGTAATAGGATGAATAGCGCCCAATCATTGGTGTCAACGGGAGGAATAGTGCCCCGTCATTGGTGTCAGCTGGACCCACTGGAGAATTAATTCCCTGTCTCTGGTGTCAGTGGGAGGAATAGTATCCCATTGTTGGTGTCAGTGTGAGGAATAGTACCTCATCATTGGTGTCAGCAGGAGAATTAATTCCCTCCCTCTGGTGTCAGTGGGAGAAATGGTAAACCATTGTTAGTGTCAGTGGGAGGAATAGTACACCATTGGCAGTGTTAATGGGAGGAATCGTGCCCCAATGGAGAATTAATTCCCTCCCTCTGGTGTCAGTGGGAGAAATGGTAAACCATTGTTAGTGTCAGTGGGAGGAATAGTACACCATTGGCAGTGTTAATGGGAGGAATCGTGCCCCAATGGAGAATTAATTCCCTCCCTCTGGTGTCAGTGGGAGAAATGGTAAAACATTGTTAGTGTCAGTGGGAGGAATAGTTGCCCATCATTGATGTCAGTCGGATAATTAATTCCCTGCCTCTGGTGTCAGTGGGAGGCATAGTACCCCATTGTTGGTGTCAGTGGTAGAATTAATTCCCTGCCTCTGGTGTCAGTGGGAGGAATAGTGCCCCACCATTGGTGTCAGCCGGAGAATTAATTCCCTGTCTCTGATGTCAGTTGGGATGAATAGTACCCCAAGGGCCAGATAAAGGCAAGCTAAGGGCCACATCCGGCCCTCGGGCCGCAGTTTGAAGGCCCCTGCTCTAAAAGAATGGAAAAGCTGTGCTTTAGGCCATATCATTACCAAACCTCCAGCTGTCCTATTAAGACATCAATGTGGTAATTGTATGAAATGTGAAGGGAAATGCGCTCTGCTGCATACTAGAGAGCCAAATGTGAGTATATGTAATGCTGGCTGGGGGGGGGGGGGGGGGGGGGGTCCTCTTGAATCAAGGGCATGGGGGCTGTTCTCTTCTACGTCACATGTACATGACTTACTGTGGCAATTCAGGATCAGTAACGTTCAATTGATCTTTCATCAACGTGCCCTTTACATTGTATGTGTGGGCGAGGTATTCCGTACATCTCCAATACAGAAATCCCCGATGTGCAGAGATTCCAGTGAGCTCCCGACTTCCTGCCATGAACACACATGGATGACCTGTGATATTCATCTTTCTGAATTTGGCCACATTTGTGGAATTGGGTTATCAATGTCCTTCTTTGATCAGACCTTTTCTTACAGATGTCAGAATTGGGATCAGCCTGCTTGCCGGCTGTACCACCAGAGCCACGGACGTTGCAGTTGCTGAAGTCACGGATGTGGTCAAAGCGACATTCCAGGCTCCGGCCAACATTTCCAACACACCAGGGAACAATGGATGCCTACAAGACCATCACCAAGGAAGAAGGAATGCGTAGCCTCTGGAAGGGTTTGTCAAGCTCCTGTCCCATCACTGGATGGGCATGGGGTGTATTTTGTCTTTAGGGGGGGCTTATGTATCTACATGATCTAGAGGCCAATATCAAGGGATGCCAAGGTGGCTGTTCTCTCCACAGGACAGATGGGACTGAAGAGCTGACCCCCATCACCTCCATATAGAAGAGGTTTATGGCACAAATAGTCTACCCTATGAAGCCGAAGATGAAAATCTTCAGACTCACCATTTCACCTAAGACTGAAGTTAACCACTTGCCCTCCGCCCTATAGATGAAGTACTGCTACAGGGCAGCATGGCTGTGCAAAATCACACATGAAGGAAATGCGTATTTGCTCCCCGGCTGATGCTGAATGTTCGCCCCTCACACAGAAATGATCGGTCTAACAATGGAATGTTCGGTGTAACACTGAGAGACAGAATACAACAAATTCAGCAGAAATGTGTCTAACAAATGATGACGGATCTGCATGTTCATGAGGGAAAGAAGGATTTGATCCCCTATCATTCAGCAGGATTTCTGGCTCCCAGGTGTCTTTCATACAGGTAACAAGCTGAGATTAGAAGCAGTCTCTTAAAGGGAGTGCTGCTAATCTCATTTTGTGACTTGTATAAAAGACACCTGTCCACAGGAGCAATCAAACCATCAGATTCCAAACTCTCCACCATGGCAAAGACCAAAGAGCTGTCCAAGGATGTCAGGGACAAGATTGTAGACCTACACAAGGCTGGACTGGGCTACCAAACTATCGCCAAGCAGCTTGGTGAGAAGGTGACAACAGTCGGTGCAATCATTCACAAATGGAAGAAACACAAAACAAGTGTCAGTCTCCCTCGGTCTGGTGCACCATGCAAGGAAGGCGGGCCCAGCCCAGAGCTCAGTCGGTGTTTGCAGCAGAGAAGACTCGTCATGTCTGGTCGCGGTAAAGGAGGGAAGGGTCTGGGGAAAGGCGGCGCCAAGCGCCACAGGAAGGTGCTCCGGAACAACATCCAGGGCATCACCAAACCCACCATCCGACGTTTGGCCCGCAGAGGGCGAGTCAAGCGCATCTCCGGCCTCATCTATGAGGAGACCCGCGGAGTGCTGAAAGTCTTCCTGGAGAATGTCATCCGCGATGCCGTCACCTACACCGAGCACGCCAAGAGGAAGACCGTCACCGCCATGGATGTCGTCTATGCTCTCAAACGACAGGGCCGCACTCTACGGATTCAGAGGATAAATCCTCATAACCCCCCCGGCTTCATCTCATACGAAGGGCTGTCTGTAGGAATATCTGTTTCTTCTGTAGTTAGACCAATTTCTAGCTTTTTCGGTAAAATCTGTGGGAAAGTTCTTAGCTGGATACTTCCTGTACAATCCGATTGTAGAGTTCTTTAGAGGTAAGAAGACGATTTATTACCACAGATGTCCACTATTTATATATTCAGGCTTCTAGCGTACAATATCTGTATCTTATTTTTCGGGAGGTTGTTGAGTCACAGAAAAACCATTTATTTGTCCTATAAAAATCGATGAGACCGATCGCATTGTTGTGGGTCTCTCATCATTCCTCGGACAATTCTGGGGACCTCCAGGGACCCCCCCAAGTGACGGAGGGCTGCTTTGTAATTACAAACCTCCGTCCCGATCGATCTCTAATGTTTCCTGGCCTGCGATTTTCTAATACATAGTCTTCTGTCTCAGGGGGGTCATTTTCCTGGTTCATTTCTTTTGTGGTTTATATTTTTTGCTTCCTGGTGATTTACTGAAAGGCGATATTATACCTGTATTTGTCCACAAGATGGCGCCAGACATAGGATTGAATAATGGGCGATGCCAAACCTAACCACAGGATGGAGACAGAGTGAAATCCTTCTCCTCTGTCGCCATCCAGTGGACAGATGCAGGTATAACACCGTCCTTTAGGAAATCATTCTGCTCTCTGTCTCCATCCTGTGGTTAGGTTTGGCTATCACATATCATTGTTCAATCCTATATCTGGCGCCATCTTGTGGACAAATACAGGTACAACATCGCCTATTAAGTAATTATGCTCTCTGGCTCCATCCATTTACTCTTGCAGTGCAGGGAGGCATTATTGTATTCTAATTCCTGGGGGTGGGCTTTAAAGATACAATTCAGTTTTTTATTGTTTAATGTTAGAGAAAGTTAGATAAAATCTTTCTTTTACAAATAAAAAAAAACAAACAAAAAAAACCTATTTAATATATGACATTGCACACAACAAAGGACAACTCACATGACAAATATACACCCTGTCACCACATTGCCCTCAAGATATATACAGTCAGGTCCATAAATATTGGGACCTGGACACAATTCTAACATTTTTGGCTCTATACACCACCACAATGGATTTGAAATGAAACAAACAAGATGTGCTTTAACTGCAGACTGGCAGCTTTAATTTGAGGGTATTTACATCCAAATTAGGTGAACGGTGTAGGAATTACAACAGTTTGCATATGTGCCTCCCACTTGTTAAGGGACCAAAAGTAATGGGACAGAATAATAATCACAAATCAAACTTTCACTTTTTAATACTTGGTTGCAAATCCTTTGCAGTCAATTACAGCCTGAAGTGTGGAACGCATAGACATCACCAGACACTGGGTTTCATCCCTGGTGATGCTCTGCCAGGCCTCTACTGCAACTGTCTTCAGTTCCTGCTTGTTCTTGGGGCATTTTCCCTTCAGTTTTGTCTTCAGCAAGTGAAATGCTCAATCGGATTTAGGTCAGGTGATTGACTTGGCCATTGCATAACATTCCACTTCTTTCCCTTAAAAAACTCTTTGGTTGCTTTTGCAGTCTGCTTTGGGTCATTGTCCATCTGCACTGTGAAGCGTCCAATGAGTTCTGGAGCATTTGGCTGAATATGAGCAGATAATATTCCCGAAACACTTCACAATTCATCCGGCTGCTTTTGTCAGCAGTCACATCATCAATAAATACAAGAGAAGCAGTTCCATTGGCAGCCATACATGCCCACGCCATGACACTACCACCACCATGCTTCACTGATGAGGTGGTATGCTTAGGATCATGAGCAGTTCCTTTCCTTCTCCATACTCTTCTCTTCCCATCACTCTGGTACAAGTTGATCTCGGTCTCATCTGTCCATAGGATGTTGTTCCAGAACTGTGAAGGCTTTTTTAGATGTCGTTTGGCAAACTCTAATCTGGCCTTCCTGTTTTTGAGTCTCGCCAATGGTTTCCATCTTGTGGTGAACCCTCTGTATTCACTCTGGTGAAGTCTTCTCTTGATTGGTGACTTTGACACACATACACCTACCTCCTGGAGAGAGTGTTCTTGATCTGGCCAACTGTTGTGAAGGGTGTTTTCTTCACCAGGGAAAGAATTCTTCGGTCATCCACCACAGTTGTTTTCTGTGGTCTTCCGGGTCTTTTGGTGTTGCTGAGGCTCACCGGTGCGTTCCTTCTTTTTAAGAATGTTCCAAACAGTTGTTTTGGCCACGCCCAATGTTTTTGCTATCTCTCTGATGGGTTTGTTTTGTTTTTACAGCCTAATGATGGCTTGTGTCAGGACTGGACTGGCCAGCAATAGTGGGACTCAGCTGCCTTATGAGCTGCAGTACCAGGGCTGGCCAGCGGGTGCTCCCAGCAATCAGAGACTCAACCTTGCAGCCAGTCAAACACCTGGAACTAATTATACTGGTGTATTTAAGGGACATTCAGACCTGCAGACTCTGCCTTGGTGTTGTGTTTCTCTTGGGCCCTGTATCCTGTTCTCTGTTCCTGTCTGATTCTCTGCTGACCCTGCTCTGATCCCTGGCTTGTCTGACCATTCTCCTCTGCCTGACCCTCTGTACCACGCTGCCCGCTACCTGCTGAACCTGGCCTGTGACCCCGACCATTCTCCGCTTGCTCCCCCTGTACCTACCTGCCCAACTGATATTGACCCGGCCTGCCTGACGACGCTTGCATTGTATGTACTGTTATCTGTGGGTGGTTGGTTGGTTTGTTTGCACTGTGTTATGTTTTAGTATTGCACTGCGTTTATGTTTGTATTGTTAGTGTTAATAAATTACATTGTTTATAACATATCTGAAGTCTGCGTTTCCCTGCGTCAGTCACACACCTCTGGTCATACCCGGGAGCCCTGACAGCTTGCTTCACTGATAGTGACAGCTCTTTGGATCTCATCTTGAGAGTTGACAGCAACAGATTCCAAATGCAAATACCACACTTGAAATGAACTCTGGACCTTTTATCTGCTCATTGTAATTGGGATAATGAGGGAATAACACACACCTGGCCATGGAACAGCTGAGAAGCCAATTGTCCCATTACTTTTGGTCCCTTAACAAGTGCGAGGCACATATGCAAACTGTTGTCATTCCTACACCGTTCACCTGATTTGGATGTAAATACCCTCAAATTAAAGCTGACAGTCTGCAGTTAAAAGCACACCTTGTTTGTTTCATTTCAAATCCATTGTGGTGGTGTATAGAGCCACAAATGTTAGAATTGTGTCAATGTCCCAATATATATGGACCTGACTGTATATAATATTAGGAAAAATAATTTTAAATTTCAAATAAATCATTCCTTTGAATACATAACTATTTTTGGGTTAGTGTATACGGGTGTTTTGAGTTATTGTTAAGCAAAGCCCAGGGTCTGAGGGAGTAGGCGTTCCTCCACAATACAATGACCAGGGTCTGAGGGAGTAGGCACCCCTACACAATGCAATGCCCAGGGTCGGAAGGAGTAGGCATTCCTACACAATGCAATGCCCAGGGTCTAAGCAAGTAGGCATTCCTCCACAATGCAATGCCCAGGGTCTGAGGGAGTAGGCATTCCTACACAATGCAATGTCCAGGGACTGAGCGAGTAGGTATTCCTACACAATGCAATGCCCAGGGTCTGAGTGAGTAGGCGTTCCTCCACAATGCAATGTCCAGGGTCTGAGTGAGTAGGTATTCATCTACAATGCAATGGCAAGTCTGAGTAAGAGTTCCTCCACAAAGCAGTGCCCAATGTGCTGGCCATCACCTACAGGAGGGTACATTCAGTGGGTGATCGGCTGGTCACTAGTGAGTATAGGGGGGCCGACAGGGGAGTTAGTATGCATTCCTCCACAACACAATGCTCAGGGTCTGAGTGAGCAGGCGTTCCTCCACAATGCAATGCCCAGGGTCTGAGTGAGTAGGCATTCCCACACTACGCAATGCCCAGGGTTTGGTGTGAGTAGGTATTCCCACACTATGCAATGCCCAGGGTCTAGGTAAGTAGGAGTTCGTACACAATGCAATGCACAGGGTCTGGGTGAGTAGTAGTTCCTACACAATGCAATGCCCAGGGTCTGGGTGAGTAGGAGTTCCTACGCAATGCAATGGCTAGGATCTAAGTTAGTAGGCATTCTGCCACAACGCAATGCTAATGGTTAGAGTGGTTAGGCATTCCCACACAATGCAATGCCCACTGTGCCGGCCATTAGCTACAGGAGGGTACCCTCGGTGGGTGATCAGCTAGTCCAGTGGTGGGCAACCTTTTTTTTTCAACTGAGCCAAATCTCGCCAAAACCACGATTGAAATTTATTTTGAGAGCCACATTTTTAAAACTGAAAATACATCCCCAATATAGCAATTCATCCCCCATAGTAATTCATCCCCATATAGTAATTCATCCCCCATAGTAATTCATCCCCCCCTATAGTAATTCATTCCCCATATTGTGTAAATTCACTTACCTTTGCTCCGCGCGTTCCTCTCGCCGTGTTCCCGCGCCGTTCCGGTCTTCAGGGCGGACTGTGAGAGGAGAGGAGTTCGTCACGCTGCCCCGCCTACATCCTGACAGCCAATGTTTGCCACGCTCCGCGGGCCGGATTAAAAGGTCCGCCGGGCCGTAGTTTGCCCATTGTTGGGCTAGCTGCAGAGTCCTGACTTTTGGGACGGCCGCCCGAGAGGAGGGAGGGGAGCGGGCGCCCGGCACACAAGAGCCGCATTAAAGTTTGTAAAGAGCCGCATGTGGCTCGCGAGCCACGGCTTGCCGACCACTGAGCTAGTCCATAGTGAGTATAGGTGAGCCGACAGGAGAGATCCATGCAAGAAATGAGGGACTTTTCCTTGTAGGTCCTGTTCTTATTGTAGGTTTATGGACATACAATCATATATTAGACTTTTGAATGACAAAACCTTTTTTCCCCAGACAATTGGAAGACCCCAAAGGTCGTCTATCTACTCTCCTGTGAGTGTGGGTGTGTTTATGTTGGGAAGATGAAGTTGCCTTTTTGGTGCAGAGTCTACGAACATGTCACCAATATGTGCAAGAGTGATCCCGAGCTTCCTGTGGGCCATCATGTGGCCTCTGTTCATGGGGGAAATTCCCCAAAAAAATTTTTTTTGCGCTAGCTC